GTACACTGTAAAAAATGGTTGTGATTTTAACAGTATTAAACGCAACGTTTCGGTCCACTGACCTTCATCAGGCAAATTTGCCTGATGAAGGTCAGTGGACCGAAACGTTGCGTTTAATACTGTTAAAATCACAACCATTTTTTACAGTGTAAGTAATAAAAGTCTGTGCACCGCTTATGCAACATGCATAAGCAAATGAAAATGATTGCATATGAATGACACCATAAATCGTGCTATTTGTTGAGAAGAGGTTTGCTGTTGATTTCTATGAGAGCAAGCTTATGATTTTTGTCTGGCAGATGGTAAAATGGGATAAAATCTCATCTGCTAGACTTCTCTTAGAGACCAGAACATCACAGAGACTTGAGCTAGGAAGCAACCACCTATCTACCTCATAATAACGTGCTAAAAACTGTCCCGAACACCTCAACCACCACATAGCAACACCTTGGCATTGTGTCAGTGACCATTACACATCCTTGTGAAAAAAGCCTTGTTAGTTTGAACATAAGTGTGTTTCCAGAACACAGTTGACAGTGGTGTGTGTGCTGAAGGTTTTGTTTTTCTTTCTGGTGATGTGGAGACTCCCTCCGTGCGTGGTACATTTTGCATAGGGGAGGATTGTGGGAGGAGGGTGTGAAAGCAGATGCTCCATCCATCCACTGTTTGTTCTGCTCTTTGTATAAGCATTTGTGACATAACACAATCACCTGTTTACATAAGTCAGTATCACTGTGAAAGGTCATCTGAATCAAGTTACACATGTGTCTTCAGCCAAATGCACACCATTTCTAGCATTTCATGATCGTATAATATATGATTTGATATGATATCTTCATCCTGAGTAGCTACTCAGAAGCTACTTTTTGAGAAGCTAATTTTACGATCCTTAACAAAAAAAGCTGCTTTTATACATGTATCATCTATGTGTGTGTGTGTGTTTGTGTGTTAACAAAATATCACATATTTTGTCACATTTATTTTATACATTTTATCACATGTATTAAAAAAATAGAAATTATCTTGAAAAACAGTTATTGCATCTAAACATGGGTGTCTGAAATTTGGAGAAAAAAAAATACGTATATTTTATAGAACTTACAGGTTAATATGTATAAAGATAATTCAGTTTATATATTTTATCAATTTTAATAATGCATTTACTGAATTTATTGATTTTCTTCATCTATGTGCTGTCAACCTAACTGAAAGTAAATATTTTCAGATTTTTTTTAAATAATTTTGTTTTGGCTTTGGTACAATGACAGTATAAGGTACTTCTTTTTTTTTTCGGTGTTTTTTATCATTGACTTTTGTTAACATTTTGAATTAGTTTTTATTTTAATATTTTCTGTTTTCATTTTATTGTAGTTAAAGTTTTTTTTTTTTTCATTTTTAGTTTTTATTTAATGTGTTTATATAGTTTTCATAAAGTTTTATTTTTATTTTAAGCACTTAAACTAAATGAAAGTGAGAGATTTTACTTTAAGTTTTTTATTTCATTTAATGTTTAACATTAATTATTTAATTCTTTAAACAACGTTGTCTTTATGATATTGCACATTAAAATGTCTTACACTTGCACACTAAATGGGTTTTCATACATGAAAATATAGCTTCCTTAAGGGGCTCCTTGCAAAGAGATCATCATTTTTGGGTGCCTTTGGCATCATGTCTTGTACAAGTATATGCATTCATGGGTGTCATTTTTGTCCATCAGGTAGAGGATGACAGCGCTCTCACGGCGGTGTATGTAAACCTCCCCCGGGTGCGTCGGAGTACCACTGACACATCCAGTACCGTTGCTTCTCCATTACAGGAGTTCCCAGACACTCCCGATACCCTTCTTTTAGACTCTGCGGGATGGGAGATCCATACTGACGACCAGAGCGGGCAAGAGTACTACTACCACCCCTCTACAGGCCGCAGCACCTGGGAGTATCCGCTCAGCTACTCCATGGAGTCGTCAGTGGGGACAGAGGAGGCCCGTTCTCCTCCCTCGTTCCCCCAGTCTCCCATCAGCTCGCCCCTATTCCCTTCTCCTCAGAGGTGGAGCTCGGACTGGGAGAAGGTGCTGGATGAGAATACTGGCAGGCATTACTTCTTTAACATTGTGTCGGGTCAGAGCTCATGGGATCCCCCAGAGGATATCATCTCACCAGAGCAGTTTCTGGAAGATTGCCCGGTATGGAGGTTTTATGTTACCATATTATGGTATTTATGTGCAAATAGACCTTAGTCAGGTTAGATGCCATATTGGATTTTACATGGATGAAAACGAGGCTGTGAGGAATTGACAGTCTTTACAACCCACCGTCTAAAGGCCCTCACAACTCACAATTTTCAAAACTTTGTTGTGAAGGTTTTTGTCTACTGAACGTTTTTTAGGAAAGACGTTTCGTTAGCTAAACAATCACTATGTTAAACAACATTACAAGCTATTGAACACACTGTACTTCTATCACTCACAGCCTTGTTTTCAAGGCTGTCAAAAATTAAATATGACACTTTTTTTATTATTATTTTTGTTATTACAGTGGTTTTCAACCATTTTGACCCCATGGCCCCCCATTGCCCACAGCAATATTCGAAAGCCCCATGACATTTGCAGTTGAAAATATTTTTTACAATTTATATTTTAGAATAGAATAGAATAATAAAAAATAAAAATGGCTGTGGAGATTTTCGATTTTATTATTATACATTACACTTAATTAATATACACTTTTCAAAGTCTAGAAATCAAAATTCAAAAATTTCTCCTTCCTCATGCAGCATATGTAGGTTTTTTGACAATTTTTGAGAAGATTTTAATTGGTTTGACATATTATTGCTGGCTTTGTCTTATTTTTAATCATTTTAAGTCATCTTTGGATTGAGAACCAGTGAGTTGATCTAACACTGTCAACCTGGAAATTATACTTAGTATAATATTATCATGTAAATGATTTTATAGTTATGGTTATAGTTATCGTCCTTGGTGTCAGTGGGTCTTAAACCAGTGGTTTTCAGCCTTTTTGTCTTCAAGATCCCCCATTGTCCACAGAAATGTTCGAAGACCCCATGATTTTTTAAAATATTTTTTTTTTAATCATTTTAAATAATATTGTAAAAATATTTAACATTTAAAATTAGACTGCCGCATATATACAGTTTTTTCAAGACAGTGGGGATGAATTAATAGGTTTGGCTTATTTTGTTGCTTGTTTAATCATTTTTTTCTCTTTAGATATGATCAACTGTCTCCTAAAAGTAGACTAAAGTATTACATTGAGTTACATAAAAAAATAGTATAATTAGTAATTAAACTATTAGTAATAGTTTAATTTGTAATTTATGTGACAAATGAAAACACAAAAACAAATGCAATTAATAAGTTGCAATAATAATATTTTCAAAAAGGTTTCTCAAACACTACCCTTTTCTGCAAAAAAAAAGTTAATAATGAGTTCTATTTCTATTATGAAAGAATTAAATGAAAAATTGAATAAAAAATGTTAAAAAAAGTTTGAATGATACTTTTATTGTCTTCTTTACTCCCCAAAATGTAGCCTCCGTTTCCTGAGGAAGACTACCCAGCATCTCCAGATCTGGAGGAAGCATCTCCTCTCTCTATGCCATCAGAGTATACTTTGATTCATGTGAAGAAGGTCTCAATCCCCAGGGCCAGTCTGGATCACAGCGTCCCACCAGGCTGGACCCTCAGCATCGACCCTGAAGGAGCTTGGGTCTTCACGAGCGACTACACGCAGGAACAGGTACAGGACACTTGACACTGACCTTGGCGTGTCCTTGTTTTGGGCTGACTTACTTATTATTTGGGCTGATTAGCTTGCTATTATTAGTGATGTGGATGATAGTAGGGCTGTAGGCTAGTTTTGTAATTTGGTGAACTTAATGAAGCGTCTTGTTGACAGTGGATCAAGTCGCTAGACGATCGAGGACGGACATACTACTACTTAAGAGATGGCAGCAAGTCCCAGTGGAACTTGCCTGAGGTGAGATACAGTGGGAAAATTTGGGATTGTCCACCTAAAGGCCTGTTCACACCAAGAACGATAACTATATTAGCGGCCAAACTTAGCGGACAATAAAGTTCTGTTTGTTGTAAGGACACTGCTCTTTTGTTATCTGCTGCTTTAAATGCTCGCGCTCTATGTGAAGCCAGGTGGATTCTGATTGGCTGTCAATGTTTTTTATCATTCATCAGCTGGAAGAAATTGTTCTGAAAGTGATTCTGAACTGATAACGTTTCTGTTTGTAGTTATTGTTATAGTTGTGGTGTGAAATTTCCTGTTCTTATAGAATTAGAATGATTATTAAAACTTTTTTTGTTATAATTATTGTCCTTGGTGCGAACGGGTCTTAAAGCTGTCGTTCTCAACCTTTTTGTCCCCCCTTATCTATAACAATATTCAAAGGCCCCATGACTTTTTCAGCTGTTCGTGATTTACTGGTTAAGGAATAAAGGCATAGTTCTTCCAAAAAACTGTTAAAAGTCTGTTATTGTTTACTAGCCCATGTGTTGTTTCAAACCTGTATGACTTTCTTTCCTAATAAGATATTTTGAAAAATGTTTGTAACTAATCGTTTCAGTTTCCAATGATTTCCATAGTATTTTTTTTTCCTACATACTATGGAAGTCAAAGAGAACTGAAACACTTTGGTTACCAACATTCTTCAAAACATCTTCTTTTGTGTTCCTCAGAAGAAAGAAAGTCATACAGGTTTGGAATGACATGAGAGATAAGAATTTTTTTACATTTTTATTCACAATTTATTCCTGTCGGTATAATTTTTCAGAGCGTGGTATTAGTAGAAAAACGTATATTCATTAAATGTGTAAAAAATGGCCAAAACTTATTCATTTTCATAACTTATCCAAGTCTAGATATCTAAGTTTTCCATGACCATGGGAATCCTGGCTGTCAAGGGGTAAATTGAACATACCTTTTTTTTTTCTTTTTTTTTTGCTGCTTTAGCATCATTTTAATCATTCTTCTTAAAGGGATAGTTCACCCAAAAATGAAAATGTGATGTTTATCTGCTTAACCCATTGAAAGATTGCTGTTGTTCACCTAAAAAAATGAGTGAAACTGTCCTTCTGATCCCAAATGATACTGTGAAAACACAAAATTATATATTTGGCAGAATGTCCATGCATTAACTTTTATAATTTTCACTTAGAAATTGCTGGTAGATTTCACAAATAATTGCAAACAAAGGCAAGTAACACATCAAATTAAACATGACATTTTGAAGTAGAAAAACATAAAGAATATTTTCTTGTAAAAATGTACTCCAATAACAACTTCAAAACAAGCTCAAAAAAATACAAAAACCTGTCATAAAGTTAACATTTCTGAATACAAATTCTCTCTCACACTTCTAGTACTCTGGAAGTCCAGGACAGTATGGAGTGGGAAATGGGGCCTCACTAGAGCAGGACACAATGGGATCCAAGCAAAACTGGAGGCGCAGTGCGGGATACCAGGAAGATGTATGTACTCACACACATTTGCTTTGAATTTCTACCTCTGCATGTGTTAGTTCATCCAACAGCTCATCCGCACTCATAAACAAAGAGTGATGCCCTGACGCACGTGATGCACACCTGATGCGTGTCCTTAGTGACCGTGTTTCCTAAATAGGCTCTAGAATGCACCTGAGACTCAGTTTGTTATAGAGTTGCTCTATTTAAATCCCACCTAGTATTTTAGATCCTATCATTTCAATATGCTAACATATACTCAACATTTAGCCTGTTTTCACTGAACTGCTCCATGGAGATTAATTGGGTTATTAACACAGTAGCATACTGTACTGCATTACTAATGGTGTTTACCAAAGGCACACAATGGAAAAATGTAGTTGTGTACTAAAAATTGTATATTTGACCACAGTTAAATGGTCTTGTCTGTTTTTGAGCAGCAATTTTTGGTTTTCTAGGGCATTATTGTATTATTGTATCATGCCCTACAAATGCCCTACATGTGATTTTATCACAAACAGAAGTGTCATTCATCAAGTCCATTATAGAAACGTATGATTTTACGATTTTATGGAGATTAACAATTTTGGTGCAATGAAAAAATGCAGTTGTGTAATGAAAATGAAAATTGTAGTTGTGTAATGAAAATGGTATATTTCACCATATTTAAATGGTCTTGTCTCTTTTTTTTTGTTTCTAGGCCATTATTGTAAATGCATAGTGTGATTTACCTGTTATTTTCTCTTAACAGAAGAGTCACTCATCATATCCTCAGAATACACCAGACAGCGATGCCTCCAGCTCTCCTGAGATGCCACATAATGTAAGACTCCAGATCAAACGCTTATGTCTTTAAAAATGTACATTTAGATCTAAATCTTACAATAAACTACATAAAGGAAATCTTCGGGCACCATTCATGTGATTATTATAAGCTCATTATGTGCTTACTGCCATGAATGACATGCTGTGTCAGATGTTTTTCTCTCTTTTCCTTGGTAAGTGTTGGGTTTGGTAATGCCAGTGTATGAGGTGTTCCATAAATTGCACAGGAGAATATAATTATGCAATTACACAATACATGCTGAGTAAAAGTATTTATGCAGGTTAGGACAAGTGGAGCAATGTCTAATCAAAAGTTTTTGAACATGACTAGAAGAATGACCCATTTAATTCATTTAAAACACACCAAAGTCTATACACACCAAACAGATCACCAATACTCACTGTAAACCTATGAAGAACAGTCTAAGATACCAAAACATCTGATGTCAAAATCCGGAGATAATCACATGCATGCAATAGTATTTTGCCACACTGGCCTCTGGTGGTTACTAATGAAACTTGCAGCCCAGTTGCTGCCTTCTACTCAAAAAAGCAAGTACCAAATGTATCACAATGCTTCCTTGAGTTTTGGACGTGATATCATGGCAGTACCTTGTTTTTTGGACATTTACCATGGTGGAGTACCATTAAATTAATTATACAGAACCACGGTAAATATCAAAGTACTGGTATTACAATCACTGTTCAAATTCCTAGTAAATTTCACAAATAATTACAAAGAAACAGCAAGTAATACATTGAATTAAATGTGAACATACTTCAATAATCTTTGTTTTATTTACTACATTTTTACAGTGTATATGCATATATACTGTACTAGCAAATCTCAGCTGTGTGATTGTTTATATCATCACAAAATATAACTATATTATCCCACAGCTCTTTATATTAAGTTGGATATTAAGTCGAATTAGTCTAATTAAGTCTAATGTCCAATTTTATCCGCATATACGCACAGAAAAAAGCAACATATATATATATATATATATATATAGCACATTTCAGCTGCCTGATTGTTTATATCATCACAAAAAGTGAACTATATTATCGCACAGCTCTAAACTGCTATATGTGGCTATAAAGCATGAAGGTGCTAACATTAACATGATGGTTTTACCGTGTTTGAGGGGTTTTAGCTCAAACTGTGCTTGATGTTGTACCGAAGAACACTTCTTACCTGTGGATACTTGTGATTTTATTATATGAGCATTTTAAAGAGTGAAATGGAGTGTTAAATGATTTGCTCCTAAATTTAAAACCATTAAAAGGATAAAACAGCTGAACAGTAATCTACTTTTTCTGTTCGACATTTTAAGGTGAACCTTAAAGGTTATATAATTCGCTTCATTTTCATGATCTCAGACATTATCCTGTACATTTTTTGTTTCTTTCAGAGAGGCTGTATTATTTCATTCATTCATTTTTTTTTAAGGTTTCAAACTTGGAAAAGGCTGGAATCCTGAATAAAACAAAGGTGTCTGAAAACGGGAAGAAAATTAGGTAAGGTTGGCCATCATGAAAATGGTAACACTTTACAGTAAAGTAAAGCATTTATTAATCTCAGCTAGTAGTAATTTCAGCATTTATTAATGCATTATTAATATCAAAAGTTATATCTGTTAATATTATTTAACGGGACATGAACTAGTGTAACAATGAACAGTTATATGTTTATTATTTTACATTAATTACAAAGACAAATGTATCGCTCAGTGTCAGTTTATGTTAGTTAACTCATTAACTAACGTTCACCAATCTGACCTTTTTGTAAAGTGTTACGGTGAAAACTGTTATGTTCGTATGTAAAAGTATAACATTTTACAAATCGTCCCACAGGAAGAACTGGAGTAATTCCTGGACGGTTCTCCATGGAGGGATACTGACATTCCATAAGGATCCAAAGACACCAGCTGGAGCATCGGTGAGAAACAAAACCAGCAAATGTAGAATTTGCATTTTTCACAACACTGAATGTATTTTATATTACGTAGAGCAAGACAAACCAGATAGTTCCAGAATTCACAGTCGAACTGAAAGGGGCAACAATTAACCGGGCAACCAAGGACAAATCAAGCAAGAAAAATGTTTTGGAGGTATGGCTGTTACAGCACTACCTACGATTGTGCTGGATGATCATACTCTATACTTTACTAGTGTGTCGTCTTGACGTTCCATGTGTGTTTGTTTGTTCATTCAGCTTAAGAGTCGCAGTGGTGTGGAGTACTTGATCCAGTACGACACTGAGAGCATCATCACAGACTGGTATAAAATCATCACAGATACCATACGCCAGCTGGTGAGTCTTGCTTCGTTGTCCAGAAATGAACATTAACAAAACTTGGTTGTGTTCTCTGAAATCTGCATTTCTGCATTGCTCTGGGCCAGGATCTGCGTCAGGATCTGGATCAGCACCACTCTGAAGATGAGGAGGAAATCAGTGAGAAGTCCTCGAGCTTAGACAGAGAGGATAGACCCTTCGACAAAAGAACTATGAGCAATGGTAGTGCTTCAAATGATTCTTAACCCTCTGGTATAAGTGTATTAAGTGTAACTTTTTTAATGAAAGGAATGTATCATAAGTTGTTTCAGTAATATTTACTCTTTAATATTTTGTATTTTGAGGGGATTTCATGGTACTTTTATGCAGCAATTATGCAGCATTTATTTAAATTAATACAGTTTTTAATTAAAAAAAAAACAGCAAAGATATTTAAAATCCTAAAGGCTATCATAAAATCCTATGTAATACCATTGTGCAACCACTAGATGACTAGATTAAGCCATTTAAACTTTTTTAATTTAATTTATTTTTATTTATTTATTTTGTGTTTGTGTGTGTGTGTGTGTGTGTGTGTGTGTGTGTGTGTGTGTGTGTATGCTATAAAAGGAGCAGTACACCCTTAAATGAAAATCCTGCCATTGGGACGTGAGAAAATAATTTTATCCATTTATAAAAAACTAAAGATACTAAAATAATTTGAAAAGAAAATGCTGAAAGCACAGTACATGATACAGAAAATTAGTATAAAAATGTACTCCCCTCTTCCTGTTCATTAGCATCTCGTCATCCTTCCTCCTCTTCGACACCTGAAGCAGATCAGAAGAAGGTCCGCACCAAACTGAAGAAGTTTCTCCTCAAGCGGCCCACCCTGCAGTCGGTCAAAGACAAGGGATATATCAGAGGTCCATCACTGCTTTCCCTCATCCATTTCCTGTTCCCTTTATAGAAGATTTTGAATGAAAACTGATTCTAATGTGACTCTTTGATCCACAGAAAATGTATTTGGATGTCACTTGCACAATCTCTGCATTCAAGAAAAGACGAGAGTGCCCAGCTTTGTAGAGAAATGCATCCGGGCGGTAGAGAAAAGAGGTGTGTTACCTTTACACCACTGCCAAATATTTTGATTATTGAAATCGACTTTGGATTAATAATGTGTATAATTTATGTCATTTAATTTTAAGGCTGTAACCATGTCTTGAATGTTGGGAGGGGACTATTTATTTATTTAGGTATTTGTTTTGTTTTGTTTTATTTTATTTTGTTTTGTTTTATTTTTGGGCGGGGTTCTTTTTATTTAAAGGAATTAAATAATTAAAGGATTAAATGGATTTAAAGAAATAAAGCAAAAGAACAGTAAATTAAAAATAATACGGTTTTTTTTTAAGTAATACATTTGAACTATTTACAAATAATATATAAAAAATAAAAAAATCATTCTTATTCATATGCCGAAAATGCAAAATGGCTAAATGTTTCTTGTCTGATCATCACATTTTTTTGTTTAACATTTCTATGGTAGTTGTCAAATATTAAATATTTAGTTACTTATATCTGACCTCACAGACTTTCCCTATTAAAAACAGAATGGTCACACTGGAATTCACGTTTGTTTTCTTTCTAAACCCCGCCCTATTTTGATTTGATTGGTCATCCTAGTCAGTTTGAGCGAGCGCTGTTACAAAATAACCTAAAAACACCTATAAACTTTTTAATAACCTATAAACCTTTTGAGTACGTCTAAAAATGTCGGCCTTGTTTAATATTTAAAAATCAAGCTGCATGAACTGATTTTTGTTGTTGTTATCCATCAGGTCTGGAGATCGATGGACTCTACAGAGTTAGTGGGAATTTGGCAGTCATCCAGAAACTGCGTTTCAAAGCAGATCATGGTATAATTCATCAGCATGCATTTTACACTTCATCAGCTCAGTTTACTAGCTCTTCACGTCTGCACCAAGATGTCATATTCTGTATTATAGTTTGTTAGTTTCCTTTGGTATTTAAGAAGACGTCACTATTGCATTTGCTCATAATATGAGCTGTAACTTTATCATGCCGGTTTCACACCACAGGCGTGAGCAACGTGTATTTTTTTCAGTGTGCATGTTAACAAAAGCGTGCATGCACACTGGGAGCAGGAGCGTCGCGTGAGCAGCACTGAAGCAATGGTTTTGGCACAGAGTCTATTTTTGCTGCGCTGCTCACACTCACTTAAAGTGACACTTTTGAGAGACAAAATAAATATGATTTCACACAAAAAGTGCTAAAAATGCACAGAATAAGCATGTCTAGTGTGTTTTAACAAGAATTGGAGCATGTCATAAAAGAAAATGAGGAATCAAAAATATGTATAGAAGATTTACCCATTTAAACTTGTTTTTATTTAATCAGTTTGGGAGAAAGTATGGTGTATTAAAAAAAATAACATTATAAACAGCACTACTATGGATGAGTGTGGGTTATTGAGGAGATATTGTGCTGAGATAAGACATTTTACATTTAATGCTAAAACTAGAAACAGAAACAGAATAGAGATTGCGAGGGGAAGCACCACTTTTTAGTTTTTTTTCTCATAATTGGTCAGTAGTGATTTTCCATGACCCAAGCGTTTACACTCACATTGTCTGTGTCTTCTTGACCCTTTAGCGATTCCGACTGACTCGTGTGTGTCTCTGTGTGTTTCTCCAGAGGATCTGGACCTGGAGGAGGGGAACTGGGACATCCATGTGATCACAGGAGCGCTGAAGCTCTTCTTCAGAGAGCTGCAGGAGCCTCTTTTCCCTTACAGTCTCTTCAATGATTTCATCAATGGCATCAGTAAGATCCCGAAATGCGGGAGTGGGACTCTAGCGGGTTTCCAGTGTGGTGTTTTCAGTGGCCAAATAGAAGCACATTTCTGCTGCTCATATTTGTGAACTTAGTCAAATTTCCTTTCTTGCATATTGAAACTGAACTAGATATATGATCATATTAAACTACAAAAATACAAAATAGAACCATTTTTTTTTTAATTTAGATTTTTTTTTTTACTCCACAATTTAGATATTTTTATAATTATGCTGCTAATATAATTTGTAGTAAAAACTAATTTGTATTAAACTATAAAAATGCAAAATAGAACAGTTTTCATGATTGTATCTTTCTCAGATTTTCTTGATTGCGTAATATTGATATTTTTATGTAATATAATTATACTGATAATATAATTTATAGTGATATTTCATTTTTAGGTCCCCATGAGGACACAAGCTTATAAATCAATCAGAATGAAGTGTTTTGAAAAACTAAAATAGCAGAAAGTTTTGTGTGAGAGGTAGGTTTAGGGTAAGTGGATAGAAAATACAGTTTGTACAGTATAAAAAACATTACGCCTATGGGATGTCCCCATTAAATATGGAAACCTAACATGTGTGTGTGTGTTTAGGATTTGCTGAATAAAAGATATATCCCATGCACATATTCAATGAACCCTCCAACCATGTCTGAGATGTTCCTCTCAAAGGCTTTAAGTGCCAGAAAAAGCATCAAGTTTCTTACCATTCTGATGAAGCAAAACATTTTTAAAAATTCTAAAAGTCAACTTTTCCGTTATAATTATCAAAGACCAGCGGAGGGTTAAAGGAATAGTTCACCCAAAAATTAAAATTTGGTCGTCATTTATTCATCCTCATGTCATTCCACACCTGAATGGCTTTCTTTCTTCTGTTGAACACAAAAAAGAAGATATTTTGAAAAAGTTTCATTTTTTGTCCAACATGATTTCCAGTGTGGTGTTTTCAGTGGCCAAATAGAAGCACATTTCTGCTGCTCATATTTGTGAACTTAGTCAAATTTCCTTTCTTGCATATTGAAACTGAACTAGATATATGATCATATTAAACTACAAAAATACAAAATAGAACCATTTTTTTTTTAATTTAGATTTTTTTTTTTACTCCACAATTTAGATATTTTTATAATTATGCTGCTAATATAATTTGTAGTAAAAACTAATTTGTATTAAACTATAAAAATGCAAAATAGAACAGTTTTCATGATTGTATCTTTCTCAGATTTTCTTGATTGCGTAATATTGATATTTTTATGTAATATAATTATACTGATAATATAATTTATAGTGATATTTTTTCGTTACAGGACAAAAAGGAAAATAGAAACATTTCAATTTTTAAAAAAAAACAAACAAACTACACAAATGCAAAAGAGAACAATTTTATTCATTTTCGTTTCAGATTTTTTGACTCCATAATTTAGATATTTGTATTTAATATAATTATTATGCTGATAATATAATTTGTAGTAAAAAAAATTGTTGTAATAAACTATAAAAATGCAAAATATAACAATTTAATTAATTTTCTTTTCTGATTTTTTTGACTCCATAATTTTGATATTTGTATTTAATATAATTATTATGCTGATAATATCATTTGTAGTAAAACAATTTTTATTAAACTATAAAAATGCAAAATAGAACAATTTTCATTATTTGTTTCTTTCTCATATTTTCTTGATTGCATAATATTGATATTTTTATGTAATATAATTATACTGATAATATAATTTATAGTGATATTGTTTCATTACTGGAAAAAAAGGAAAATAGAAACATTTTAATATTTTTCTCAGGTTTTTTTGGTGGGGGGAGTGGGGGCTACTCCACAATATAGATATTTTTATTGATTTAATATAATTATTTTGCTAATAAAATAATTTGTAAAATTGTTTACAATTACAAAACACAAAAAGCAAACTACACAAATGCAAAAGAGAACAATTTTATTAATTTTCTTTTCAGATTTCTTTTGACTTTTGACTCCATAATTTAGATATTTTTATTTAATATAATTATTATGCTGATAATATAATTTGTAGAAAAAAAATGTTGTATTAAACTATGAAAATGGAAAATAGAAACATTTACATTTTTTTCTCAGATTATTTTTTTTTTGGGTGGGGGGTACTCCACAATATAGATATTTTTATTTATTTAATATAATTATTATGCTGATAATATAATTTGTAGAAAAAAAATGTTGTATTAAACTATGAAAATGGAAAATAGAAACATTTACATTTTTTTCTCAGATTATTTTTTTTTTGGGTGGGGGGTACTCCACAATATAGATATTTTTATTTATTTAATATAATTATTATGCTGATAATATAATTTGTAGGAAAAAAATGTTGTATTAAACTCTAAAAATGCTAAATAGAACAATTTTCATTATTGTATCTTTCTCAGATTTTCTTGATTGCATAATATTGATATTTTTATGTAATATAATTATACTGATAATATAATTTATAGTGATATTGTTTCATTACTATACTCCACACTATAGATATTTTGATTGAATAGATTTATTCATTATATAATACTAGTAATTCATTACAATCTATCTAACTATCTATCTATCTATCTAGTGATAAAGTTTTAATTGAATTCATTTGTGTTCTTCCTTGTGCTTTGATACAGAAATCCCTGATTATTACAGTAAAATAGCACACATGAGAAATCTGGTACGGTCTTTGCCACCACCCAACCGTAACACAATGGAGGCCCTATTCAGCCATTTACGCAAGTATGTTGTTCATTTTACACACACGTATTTACATCTTTTTATAAATGTTACAGTATATATCTACAACATGTCTCTGTCTCTTTCTTTCAGGGTTATTCAACACGGCGATGAGAACAGAATGAGCGTGCAGAATGTGGCTATCGTTTTCGGCCCAACGTTACTCAAACCGGAGGTGGAGACGGCAAACATCGCCGCTTACATGGTCTTCCAGAACCAGATTGTAGAATTCTTACTCAATGAATTTGAGTCGATCTTCCACATGTGATTGACCTGAACTTGCACTGAATACAAAAGCCCACTCAAATGCTGGAGATGAAGCTGCAAAACTGATCTCAGTCCAGTCAGAGGGACAGTATGTGACAGATCTGTGAAGGAAAGCCTCTCGACTGGCACATTTTGTTGTAAATAGAGATGCTACAAAAATCAAGAACAGTAGCATCTGTGATTAATCTATTAATATCACTGAAACAGAAGAGCAGTTGGCCATTAAGGGTAATGCACATTTTAAAAGTGTATAGCTAAAATGTAGTTTAAAATAATGTGTTGTGTTTCCTTTTAGACTTAAAGAGAGCTCTGTCACAGGAGGTTTTCTAAGAATATCAGTGAGCTTTCTTTTTAAATAGTTATCAGCTATTCCTGAACAGGTCAGTTCAATAATAATGTAGTTTAACTTTGCTTTCCTGTGGTCTTTTGCCTTTCTGTAGAGTCGCGCAAAACACTGCAAGTTTTTACCCTATTAATTTGGATTTGCTATGTGATAATAGATGGATAATATGAAATTACAACATTTTTATGTTTAGGCGTCAATTTTAGTTCAAGTTGTAAAACGTGTACATTGTCATTAAAGGCACAATATTTTAGATTTGGTGGTACCAAAATATAGAATCTGAATTTGCACATAGATTAAGCATTAATATTTTATAACAACTGGCACACTCATATAGTAATCACTGTAAGATGTTTGAAGGTGTGTGTATATATAGAAAGGCATATTTATGCTGTACATTGCCTGAAGTAAGCAAGCTTTTAATAAAGTAACTCTTTTATAAATTAATGCTTCACTTTTATTTACTTTTTTCTCTATTTATATTGTGAGCGATATATTGACAAAATGATATGGTATATATTGATTGAACTGTTAAGGTTTCAGCTAAGTTGGCATACTCAAATCATATGCCATATGCTGCAAATTTAGGTTTAATTTGAATATATATA